CCCCTGGGTCTCCGCCGTGTATCCTTCCGGGTCCGGGCCGGGGCGCGTTTACCAGTCCTGTGGTCTCTTCTGTCTGTGTCTGGGTTGATGCTTCCCGTTAAAGTTTTTGGAACCTAACCTTTGCCAGAAACTCAGATGTCGAAATGACATATATCTTAAGCCTGAGGGGGGTGCAGCCTTGATAAGGAAACGTTTGCCACACTGACCAGGACTGCCTGGAGGGGTGGGAGGGTGGCACCAGCTCCCTGTGGACCTCCCTCCCTCCCTCCCTCCCGCCCCGTCCCCAGTCGAGGGCCCTGTGCAGCTGGGGTGGTGGCCGATGCTGCTTCTCATTATTCCTTGTCATCGTGCCCCGTGTCATCCTCTCGGGTAAAAGGCTTCAGTGAAGATCTGGTTCCCACCCCCAAAAACGCTGGCTGCCAAAAGGGGATGTTCTCCTTCAGCAGCCTTCCCCCAAGACAGACCAGAGCCTCTGAGCAGACGGCTGTCCTGCTGCTGGCGGCCGGCCTCGCTCAGTGTTGCCGGGAGGGCCCCGGGCCGGGGGGGCGTGGCTCTGCTCTCACCGAGCGGGAGCGGGGCCCGTGGGAGCGGCCGCGGCCGCGGCCGGCGCCGAGCAGGGAGCTGGGCCAGGTAAGTGCTGTGGACTGGAGCACCCTCTCCCTGGAGCTCCCCCAGCCGGAGCAGGGCAGCGTCCTTTAGCCTTGCCCGCGTAGCCGGTGGGAGCTGAGGCGGGAGGCGGCTCCAGCCGTGCCGCCCGGGTCTGCCGGCCGCTGCTCCGGTGGCTCTCGGGACTCCTGGGCCCCGACCTGTGCCGGGCGAGGACAGCCTGGTGAGGACGGGGAGGCGCACCTGGGAGACCGCTCTTCCCTCACTCGAGCCTTGCTCCCTTAACTCCCCTGCCAGCCTTCCCCACGTCATCAGCAGGATGGGCAAGCTGGAGCGAGTGGACGTTAACCTCTTCTGCCTGGTGGCCACAGACTTTTACAGACACCAGATAGAGGAGGAGCTGGACCGCCGGGCCTTCCAGTCCGTGTTCGAGGTGGTCGCGGCTCCGGGAAACCCATACCATCGACTGTTGACTTGTTTGCGGAACGTCCACAAAGTCGCCTCGTGCTGAGTGCCCACGTGGGGCAGCAGCAGAGCCCGGGGGCCTGCCCGCGCCGGCGTGGCTCCACACACGGGCCCCCCTCGAGCGGCCCCGTGGCCGGGCAGGTGGTGTCCGTCTCTGCCCTGTGGCGGAAGGGCCCCCTGGCGGCAGGGCTGCGTGCCGGGAACACGTGCGGCAGCGTGGGGCCGCGCCCGAGTCCTCGCGGGGAGCGGGAGAAGCTGTGTGTCACTAACCCTCTGTGCTGCACTCGTGTCACATGCCAGCCGCCCAGGTGTCCCCTCCTCCCGCTGCCCGGCCTGCTCGCGGTTGCTCTTGCGTCTGGGACGAATGTCCTCGGTCCTGCAGGTTGGCTGTCGGCCTCTCTGCTGTCCCATAGGCAGAAGGTGGCGCCATCAGGCTTTCGAGAGCACTCTCCGCGGCTCAGCCGGGGTCGGGCCTCACCTAGCACTGGTGTGTGCGGGGGGCGGGGGCTGGGAGCGTGACCCCCGGCGCCGTGCTTCCCTTTCTCTGTCTTCTTCTCAGGATTGAAAATGCAATTATATCAGTAAAGCGATTAATTTTAAGGTAGCTTTTCACGCCCGCGTAGAGTATGTGCATCGCAAGTCTGTGCTGCATGTGACAGCCCTCGCCGAGCCGCCCCAGCCGGTCCTTGTCCTCCCCTGTAACAGCCGGGGGGCTCTGCGGCGTGCTCCGTCCGTCCTTCCTTACGCCGTTCACGCCTGATAAGAGCATAGAGACGTTTGCTGATCCGACGTCTGCATCGTAATTCACACAGCCACACGCTGGGGACCGGAAAGTGCCCACTCCTCTGTGCCGTGCCTGCCCGTGGCGCCCTCGTCCTTAGGACGGCTCCAGAGCCCCCGCTCGGCAGCGAAGGACAGCCGTGCCGGCACCCAGCTGACAAGGCCAGCCTGCCTGGGTGCGGGCAGCCTGTCTCCAGCCCTCATGCCCTCCAGCTCCTGTCCCCAAGCCGAGTATGGCTGCCCAGGGCTGTCTGGCCGCTGCCGGGATCTGCTTCCCACGTGGCCCCTCTTGTGTTGTTAGGGGCCCAGGCGTGTGATGGAGCTACATTTGTCTGCACGCCTTGGTCATGAGCAAAGCTTGGCTTCTTGGCAACCATTAGGGAAAGGCCCCAGCAGCTCCTTGGCCCCTTTTCCAGCTCAGCACATCTGCTAGGCCTCCTTCCAGCCCGGGAGGGTGTAGACCTATGCCCCTGGAGCCGTGGTGGGGCTCATTCGGGGGAAGGGGCAGGAAGGAGACAGGGTAGGGCAGCGACTGGCCAGCCCATGGCCCCTCAGGCCCAGGTCACTGGACCAGCTCTGTTTCCAGCCCCAAAGCAGCCAAGTCGTTCAATGCAAACGAGGCCTGGACATTTGGGTCGACCTTGGCTTAGGAGCTCGCGTGCCTACAAGTGGGGCTGTGCTTGCCGTCGGCCCCCAGAGGGAGGCCAGTCATGTGGTGAATGCCAGGCTGCTCAGTTTGGTCTTGAGTTTAAGTGCAGACAGCGTTTTGGGTATTTCACATGGTAAGTGGACATAATTTGGAAGCTGTCTTCCAGAGTCTGCAGAGAAGAAAGAGAACGAGTCTCGGTATGTGGTTAGCGACCCTTGTGTCTGAGTGTAGGCCTGACGTCCCACTGCAGGCCACACAGCTAGCCGCAGGGCGTGGAGACCCCCGAGCTCCCCCCCCACTGCCCCAGAGCTCTGTTTCTTTCCTGCCCTTTCCTGCAACAACAGTTTGGGGCCTGCTGGGGTGTGGGGTTTTCCCACCAGGCCCTGCAGAGGCCCCACCGCGCCAGGGCACGAGCGATAGAATTGGGTCACATGTTTGATGCGTAGGACCGTAAGGGCACTTTAACAGAAAGGAAGTCAGCGTTGTCCCTCGCTCCCTCTGGGCTCCCATTTCTCCTCCCGCCTTTTCCCATAAGTCGGCTGGAACGTGTGTGAGCGCAGGAAGGTGCTCAGAACCTGCTGTCTCCCACCCCTGTCGCCTCGGCGGCTTGGAGATGGGAGCACCCCGGCCTGATGCTGTTCCTGCTGAGGAGTTTACGTCTGTAGGAAGTAACACTGTGAATGTAAAGTTTGGAACTCTTCCCCTTAGAGTCCATGCCACTGGGCTCGCCTGAAGTGTAACTGGCTTTGCCTTGATTGCCATGAAATAGTCGGTTCTTAACAGGGGCCCGGAGCCCGGCTCTGGCCACAGGTGCCACCCAAGAGACGGGCCTGTGTGCTCGGGAGATGGAGAGGAGTCAGTGAGTGAAGTCCTTTTGGCCACGGGTGAGTGTGTATGTGTGTGCCTATGTGCGAGTCTGTAATTCTGTGTATATTGCAATACACAGGCGTGCAAGGCTACGAGATTGGCCGCGTAAGTTCTTTGTAGAAGTTCTGTTTCTTAGACGTGCCCTGTGGAGGTGGCTGCGTGACGGAGGTGTCTGGGAGCGGTGTCGTTGCTCGTTGAAATCCTGCTGAGGAAAGGGTCCACCTGGCCAGCTCTCTGCACAAGAAGTTAGGACTTTATCAGCTTACTAGAAGTTTATATAGCAAGCAGCGATCATATCATCAATCCAAATTTTGTTGAAAATACCAATTTGGCAGGTTTGTGGGGAGTGGGGCGGGGGGGGGGCTGTTTTTGTTTTCCTGCTGATAATATCAGGATGGACTTGAACGAAACCAGGGCAGAATTGTTTGGCAACGCACTTAAGCGTGTCTTCTCCAGAAATGTGCCTCCCTCCCCCACCGCCCCACTGAGGGCTGCAGGTGACCCCCGGCTGCCAGAGCCCGCGCCTCCTGCCCCATCACGTTTTTGTCAGCAAATGGATCCTTCACAGAGGCTGAACGAGGCTGACCCCTTCAGACACCCGGAGGGCAGCGTCACGAGGCCTTGCCTCTTAAAGGACCCCCGCCGCACCCAGGCACCCCTCCGTTGCCGGCTGTCACTTCCAAGTCCCCAGGGCCGGGGGCGGCTTCTCCCGGGCAGCCGCGGTGAGCCCTGTTGCTGGTTCCATCGGAACGGACTCTGAACAGCGGTAACTGCTCTCGGCCATCGTGCAGGCGATGCTTCCTTCTGCGGCGGCTGCAGGGGGCTCTGTGGTTTGGGGGGAGTGGAATCCATTTCCTGTCAATGCCACGAGCGTCCTTCCTAGCATACATCCTCGCTTTGGTGTTTGTCCTTCCCTCTGTGGTGAGCCCTCGAAGCCGTGGCTACCGACCAGGGGGACAGTGGGGCAGTTCTGTCTATGGGGCAATGGGCAGGGGCAGGGGAGCGGTGTGAGAGCTGCCCAGCCCCGCTGGCAAGCTCAGGAGGGCTCAGCTGGTGCTGCCGACCCGGGCGCGGCCTCCGCGGGGAGTGGGCCGCTCAGATGGCGGTGACCCGTGAAAGTGGCCTGGAGGGGTCAGGGGTCCCGTTCCCCCCCGTGCACCTGTCACTTTTCATGGCGTCGAAGGAACCCCCTCCCCCCCAAGCGCTTCTGGGAGCACCTGGCCCTGGACAGTCACTGCCGTTTCCTGGTGCAGACTGGGTGGCGGCCACTGGCGCCGGAGGACCGTGGCCTCGTCGACCGCAGCAAGTGGCTTGGCTCTGGGCGAAGCGGGGCCGCCTGTCCGTGCACGCTGCCTCGTGCTCGCGGGTGTGAGCTCGAGACGCCCCGCCACCTCCATCCCCGCCTGCTGGGAGCCAGCGAGGCTGTGAGGGGCACGTCCCGGAGCCCTGACCTGGACCTGACCGTCCGCTCCCAAGAGGAGAGGGAAGGACTGACAAGCGACGTGTGTTTAAGTTTTTTAAACTTCCGCGAACATTGTGTACCTGAATTAAAGGGAAATGACACCACGCACTGCTGTACGAGGCGTGCTTGCTTGTGGAGAGCCTCTCCGGGGAGGCGGGGTGGCCGCCACACTGGCCCGCGCCCAGAGGGGGGGGTGCTGGGCACGTCCCAGGAGGTCCCCGCAGACGTGAGCTGCTGGGGTGAAGGGTTCCGGGGCCTTGGAGGGTGGTGAGGGCAGCCCAGGGCTGGAGTGCTCACAGGGGGCCGCGCCTCGGCCTCGGGTCTCCCCCACGCCCCGCGGGCTCCTGGGCTCCTGGGCTCCTGGCGCACCCGTTTGAGTGTGTGAGTTCTGGCTTCAAAGACTCGCCGCCCCCCAAAGGCTCGCCTAGTCAGCAGAATGGGGCACCGTCCTCCTCAGCCCTGGTTCGGCCCCTCCTTGGGAGCCGTGGCGAGTCGGTGTCTGGTAATGTTGGGGCGCAGCTGCTTTACCCGGCAGCCTGCACAGACAGCACCCCTAGTGCCATGGGTTCCCGTCCGTTGAGGGGAGTGGCCCGCCCGGTCCCTCAGCAGGGCGGCCTCGGAGCCCACGCCGTGGCCGGTGCCAGATAAGTGCGCTCGCACAGCTTGGCCCCTGCCCCTGGGCTGCAGCCCTGTGACCAGGCACATGGGCTTCCGACTTCCGGGGCTGTGCAGCAGCTCTGTGCACGGGCCCTCGGGTGCCACAGGACCCCCTGTCCCTGCACAGGAGTGGGCCTTTGTCCTCACGTCAGGTGTTCTAGACATTTGATGGGGGTGACTTCATCTCCCCAAATTTGTCTCCTCTGTGATGCAATTCCAGGGCCTCTGATGGTACCTCGGAGCGACCAAGGCTGTGTCCCCCTTCCTGGTCCCAGCACGGACAGCCAGACCCTGCCTGGCGCGCCTGAGCACACGTGGTCTCCCTGTTACTTCCAGAAAGAAAAGGGCCCAGAGCCCCTGCTGCTCATGTCCCCCGCTCGCCCTCTGCCGCTACGGCAGAGGGACCCTCAGGAGAGGGTGAGACCCTGCTTTCCTTGAGAAGAAGCCCCTGAGGCCCTTCTAGGTGTGGGGTGGAGGGCTGTGCCTTGCCCCCCAGGCAGCTTGGCGGTAGTCGGAGCGCTGCTGGATGAAGCGTTCTGCCGGTGCCCATGGGCCCAGAGGTGGGCCTGCTTGGTGGTGTCGCCCAAGACTCTGGGCAGCCATGAGCATCTCCTGTGGTTCCCCCTGGTTTGGGAGCCTTACCGGCCCAGCCCCTCCACCTGGTTGGATGGCACTTCCCCACTGGCCTCCCAAGCAGGAAACCGAAGGCCACTCGTGGCCATGTGCCCTAGGGGCCCCGAGGTCCTCAGGCCTTCACTCCCCACGGGCCTGAGGGTCTCTTGGGGCATGGGCGGGGCCGTCGGGGTTGGGGTCTGCCCACCGAGGCGGAGGCCAAAAGTCACAGTCTGAGCTCCCCGCGGATGTAGGGAAAGGGGTGGTGGTGCCAGCACAGTAAGCTGGGCCCTACAGCACCCACAACCCCTGCAGCGCTGGGCCGCTTCCAGCCTCCTTCCACTGTGAGCCAGTCCAAGCTGGGATGATCGTCGCCCCCTTCCACGGGAATAGCCCTCCCTGTGACCCCGCCACACGCCATGTGCTTCCCCGCCTTCGCCCAGACTGGAGCATTTCCACTGCTAAACTTTCCCACCCGCTGTGATAGGCTCTGCTCACTGGCGTCTGCCCCTGGAAGGTGCCAGAGACTCCTCGATGGGATCCCCGCTTCCCACCTGGGGCTCCGGGTCGTCTGGGTAGGGCCAGCACACCCAAGTATCTCAGACCGGTGTTGGTTTCCGGGGAGACAGGTCTACAGGGTGTGGCCGCACGGGTGTCCCCCGGCCTCCTGCCGGGGCTTAACTACCCCTTCTCCCTGCAGGTACTGCTGGATACCCAGCCCCCGGCCCTCTGCCTCCCCATCCCACAGAGATTGAGGGTCCCCGCAGGCCATGCAGCTGTGCCAAGGTATGGAGCCCCTCCCCAGCAAGAACAGACAGGGCCCTCCCACCTAGCTCGTGCTTGTCCTCGGAGGCCCGACCTCAGGGCTCCGCTTCCGGAAGCTCTGGGGGTTTCCCGTGCCCACTGACACCTGAGAAGACATTTGGAGTCCAGCCTTTCACCCTGACTCCCCTGGACGTGCTGGCTGGAGGGGAGGCGAGAGGTGTAGACACCTCCTCTGGGGCCACCAGTTTGCCAGGGCCCTGAGCACAGAGTGATGTCCACAGGCCGGCAGCTGCCCCCTGGAGGCAGGGGCCTCGGCTAGCCTGAGGGTCCCCAGCCCGGGGGCCCTGGGGCAGCAGCTCTTCCTGAGGAGTGTTTACCATCACCAGCCAGCCTCTGCCCTCTCCAGAAGCCGCAAGGCCACGCATGTGGTAGGGAGCATTCTCCAGGCACACGGCGGTTTGCATTGGCTACGTCCTGTGTGCCCTGCTGAGGACCATAGGCACAGGAGGGGTGGCAGGTGTCCTTTACCTCTCCCTTGGGCCTCCCCCCACGTGCTGGGCCAGGGCCAGGGGCAGCCCCTGGAGCTGTGGTTGCAGAAAGGCCCTCCGGTGGGGCTGAGAGCTGGCACTAGGGCCCTGGGGTCGGGTCCTTTGCCTGAGGACTGCGGGCTTTCTGGGAGACCTTTCAGTCACTCATTCACGCTGCAAACATCCCGAGCACATCGTGCCAGGCACCCAGGCCCAGAGGAGTACAGCAGCCCTGAGCCTTCCTGGGGGGTGCTGCGTGGGCTCGGAGAGGAAGGGGCTCCTACGGGGAGCTGATGGGGTCCAGGTCTTGAACCAAGAACCCACTGAAGGGACAAGGGGCCCTTCCGCGTGCCCACACATGTCCCTGCTGCCCTTCCACCTGAGGGCCTGGGCAGAGATTCAGGGACACCTCCCCACCCCCACCTCCGCGCTCCAGGCTCAGCTGTCCCAGTCTGGGGTGGCTTGGAGTGAGACTTTTCTCTCCGTGGTCAGGTCAGAGGAGGACCCTCTGTTAGCCATGGTGATTTTCAGCCTGAACTTCGTGAGTCCCTCCCCCCCCGGTTTAGGCCACCGCCAGGGACCCCCACAAAGGCCAGGCAGGCTCACTGATGGCCCGTGGATGCCACGGCCTGGCTGGGCATCTGGGCCTAGCAGGCAGGCAGGCAGGCAGGCAGGACTGGGGCCTGTCCAGCAGGTGTGATGGGCTCTTACTGATAAACCATGTGAGTTTTGTCTTTTAATTTTGAATGTTGATGCCTTTAGTGATGCGTTCTCTCCGTAGGCCTCACAGCTCCCACGGCCCTGGTGTCCTGCCCTGGCTGACCCTCCTGCTGCTGACCTCTGCTGGCCAGCCCCAGGGGGCGCTGCAGCCCATCCCCAGCCTGGCTCTCAAGCCCTCCTTTCTGACCACCCCCCCAGGGACAGTCACGCGGTCTGTCACTGCCCCGTCCCCTGTGCTCTGGCCTCGCCAACCTTGCTGCCACTGTGGGGCTGCTTCTTGCGGGCAGCGCCCCCTGCCTTCCTGGGGATCCAGGCCGGTTCCCCTCGTCTGGGTGCAGAGTTCACCGTTGTCCTGCGGTACCTTCCCAGCCCTGCTGGCGACCCGCGGCCCTGGCCCTTGAGACCTTGAGATGGACGAGCCTCCGTCAAGCCCTGGAAAAGACCCGCTGAGAGAGGGTGAGGGTCCCCCAGCCAAGGACCCCAGCCATGCCAGCAGCCATCTTGTCCAGGGTCGGCGTTGGGGGCCTCCCAGGAGACCCCAGAAACGGTGGGCAGTTTGCATTGGCTACGTCCTGTGTGCCCGGCCGAGGACCATAGGCACAGGAGGGGTGACAGGTGTCCTTTACTGGGACCCTGCCAGCCAGTGCTCCTTCCAGAGGCAGCACAGCACGGGGTCAGATTCGGCTTCAAGCCACCGGCTTTCAAAGCCTGGCCCAGCCCTTTGCCCACAGGGTGACCTCGCCTCTCTACACCCTTGGCCTTTTTATTTGTAAAATGGGAGTAATAGTGCCAGCTTCTTTTACAGGAGTTCCTTGAGGATCAAAGTAGAAAATACTTGTATTTAGTCTTTAAAACAGTGCCTGGCTTTCCGTGAATACTCAAATTCTTATTCTCTCACTTTTGCCAGTGTTCTTAACCCAGGGTCACACAGGTCCAATTGAGGGAAAAAGGGAAGAAGGACCAACGTGGGGTAGGAAGACTTCAGACAGGAGGTGATGTCAGAATAGGGCTTTAAAGAATGAATAGGAGTTTGCCAGTAAGTCCAAAGGCAAAGTCTAGGGGATCTATTGGGAAGAGAGAGGGGCTACTTAAGGCTGGTCCCTTCATTTGTTCATTTCTTTACTCAGCAAGCCTTTAGCAAACCCTTTCCTGTGGGGTTCCGGGGATACAAAGAGCACCCCACTAGCCAGGTAGAAACGGGTCTAGGGACAGACGGTGCTGAGCAGGGTGGTTAGGGCTGTGGTGGGGCTGCCCAGGGTGGGAGGGACACACACACTGCCCGCCTGTGCCCATTGCCCTCCGGCCCCAAGAACTGCCCCGGCTTCTCTGCCCAGCCCACGTCACCCAGGCTGGCAACCAGTCCCACCACAAAGAGGGGAGACAGGTGGTCAGACGGGGCAGAGCCCCACTGCTGCCCAGCCTGTACTGATGCGTTTACATTTCTCCCCGTAAAATGTGAGCACGTTGGCCAGGGGGACGCTGTGTGTGGAGCACGTCACAGGGAGGCGAGTGTTGGCGGGTCCTCGAGGGCACCTGCTGCTCGAGCTGTGTCCCCCTCTGCGTGCACCTCTGCGCTCTCCCCCCTTCACCGCCCACCCCCCCCCTCAGTGGCGCTGGGCCCTCCTTCCGTCCCACCCTGACTCCCTGTCTCCGGCTCTCCCTGGCGCCTGGCGCCTCGGCCCGTGTGCGTGGGGCGGGGCTGAGGCGGGGGCCGAGGCCTGGAGCCCACGCCTGGGGAGTGCGGTCAGCCCCGTCAGCCCGCTGCGCACGGGGCTCCCGGCAGCAGGGTCTGCTGGCTGGGCTGGGGCGGGAGGCACGGCCGGCGCCTGGGCCACCGGTTTTGGGTCTGGCCCGCTCGCTGCAATATTGATGGCCCGTCAGGGCAGCCCTGATTCCTGCGCTCTCAGTTAAAAGGTTTCTGTTGTTGTAGCTTATGCAGTTGCTCTGTTGCTATGGAAACGTGACATCAAAATGACGTTTCCCGTTTAAAAGCTTTTAACTAAATTCCTGCCTGTCAGATGTAGGCCCCATTTTGAGCACGGAGCTGCCTTCCAGGAGTGGGGCTCCCGCCCTGTGCGCAGGCCCCAGGCCCCGCCTGAGCTCTTTTAACCCCGCAGGTGCCTCCAGCATGGCGGCGGCCGAGGTGCCCGGCTACCTCGTGTCCCCGCAGACGGAGAAGCACCGGCGAGCCCGCAACTGGACGGATGCCGAGATGCGCGGCCTCATGCTCGTCTGGGAGGAGTTCTTCGACGAGCTGAAGCAGACCAAGCGCAACGCCAAGGTGTACGAGAAGATGGCCAGCAAGCTGCTGGAGATGACGGGGGAGCGCCGGCTGGGCGAGGAGATCAAGATCAAGATCACCAACATGACCTTCCAGTACAGGTGGGCCCCACGTGCCGCACGCCTGTGCGCCCCCCCGTGCTCCCTGCCCAGCGCTGGCCGCTGGGGGCCGCGGGGAGCCCCTCGGAGCTGAGTCGGGAAGGCCTCGTGTGGGCAGAGCCCAGCCAGCGAGATGGGGCCTGCACAGACCATGTGTGCAGCCTCCCGTCAGAGGTGGGAAACCGAGGCCCAGCGAGGGCAGGGCTGGCACAATTCGCAACATACCCCAGGCCCCTGCCTTGGGTGCCACGTGCAGGCGGCTCCCGCTTGGCCCACACGCACCCTCCCGCCGGGAGGGAGAATGCAGGCCGGCTGCCCAGGCGTGGCTCTGCTAAGTAGGGTGCCTGCCGTACAGACAGGGAAACCAAGGCCGGAGGTGAGGAGGCTCAGCTCCCAGGCCTGCAAGTCCTGCCTGGTGCTGACACTCGGTCATTTCCAGCAGCCGGCGGCTGGCCGCGGTCAGGGAGCAGGGTGCGTAGTAGGGCCGATGTTGGAGCCCTGGAGCTCCCAGCAGGGCCTCACTTGTGGGAGGGCCCTCATTTGTGGAAAGAAGCAGCGGGGACCCAGGCCTGGCCCTACCCCACTGTAGCCACCCTACCCTGGCAGCCAGAAGGGAGTTGCTGAGTCAGGGCCACAGACAGGGTTCCTGGGCAGGGGAGGAGCTCTGGCATCCAGGGTGGGAGCATGTCAGTCACTGCGTGCAGATGGCCATGGGCAGGGCAGAGGTCACAGCCATGCAGAGGGCCTTCTTGGGTGAGGCCAAGGTCACAGGTGTGGAGTGGGTCATGGTCAAGGTGAGGGTCGTGGGCAGTCTAGGGTCTCCAGGATGAAGGTCAACCTGGAACTGGGAGCCATGGGTGGAGAGTAGCAGTGAGGGGGGTGGGCGGCAGGGTCAGTGACCCTGGAAGGGGCGCTGTCCCAGGAAGACTTGGAGTGCACCGAGCTGCTCCCAGCCTTGGCCTCCTCCTGGCACTCCTCGTGGCTGCTATGAGCAGGGGAGCAGAGGTGCAGGCCATGCTGGCTGCAGACGGGGCCTGGGTTTGCCTTGGGCACCTCGAGAGGATCCTCGCTCCCAACAGTCGGCAAGGAGCCAACCCCTGCCCTCCTGGCCTGCAGCTCCCAGCCCGTCTGGAGCCTGGGACGTGCAGAGGCCCCGCAGGGCCCCCGACAACTTCTCGTGGCCCTTGGAGGAGGGGGTCCAGAGCCTGGGTCTGTCTGAAGGTGCATTTCTGCCCACAGCCCCAGCTCCCAGGCAGGCCCAGGGGCCAGAAATGAGGCAGCCGCTAAGGGTCTGAAGGCATCCGTCACAACATAAACGATGATAAATTCCAGCCACCAGCTCGTGGCGTGAGAGGGCTGAGTTGTCTGTAGACGTGTGTGTGTGTGTGTGTGTGTGTGTGTGTGTGTGTCTGTCTGTCCCTGCCTCCTCCGTTCACACAGTGCGTCCCTCCGTGCCTGTGAGGGGGCTGCAGAGGTGCAGCCGGCTGTTTGACCAGCTTCCCATCTGACTCAATAATCCATGGGCTCTGATTGGTGTCTGGCCGACTCATTCATTATTTATCCTGAAAGCCTTCTTCAGAGTCCCAGGGGAGGCATTCCTTTCCATTCCTTGGTGGGGGGGGGGGGGGGGGCAGGGAGGCCATGAGAGATGAGACAGCAGAGCAGGAGCCCGGGCCCTCCAGCGGGGCCCCACTGCAGACCCTGCCGTCTGTTCCTGAGGGCGAGGGCTGCACGTGTGACACTTCAGTTTCCTGTTCCCTGAGGGGGAAACTGAGGCATAGAGCAGAGAGGGGACTTGCCCAAGGCCACACACCCTTAATAGGCTGATGCTTTGACTGGTTGACTAGTTCTTTATCTGTCTCCTCTTACCCCTACCCAAAGAGCCTCCCCTACCAAAGTCTTTTCTTATTTTTTCACTGTAGCTCTTTGCATATTAAGGCTGTCAGGCTAAGGAAGCCCGAGGGGGCGCCTGGGTCCCATGGAGCACGGTCTCTTGGAATACCATTCAGGGGCCTCCTGTGCAGGGCGGGGGCAGGCCTTCGCTCATTTCTCCAAGGAGCGGCCTGGCTTGAGTGGTCAGAACAAGCGCAGGGGGGCTTCCAGATGGGCTAGAGGCTGGGTGGGGGCCCAAGCACAGTTCTCCACTTCCTGCGCCTGGAGTCTGTGCAGGCCTCCAGGGCGATGGACGGTAGTCCTGGGGCTGGGAGACGGAGCAGCCATGCCTCCCTCGGTGGCCTGTCCCTGGCTTTCTACCGAGGACATTCTGTATGCTGCTCCCAAGGCCACCTCCTGTATGTAGCTGGCCTCTGCTCGCTGCCCCGAGCCACAGACCCCCTGGCCGTGTCCTACTGTGCCCATTTGCTGCGGGCAGCTTGTTCAGAGAGTCAGCTCTGTTTCAAAGACCAGTGTGACCAGGGGCTACACCCCGGCAGGAACCCTATGTCAGGAGACAGGAACCATCTGGCTACAGAGGTCCCTGTAGCTTGAGGGCCTCCCTACTTGGGAGGAGCATGGGGTAGGAATGTGGGGGCCACAGACTAAGGCTGGGTCTGATGGGGCAGACAGGAACACTTCCCCCCCCCCCCCACCCCCCACCCCCAAGTTATGGACTCCTTCCTGGCCTGGCCAAGGCTGCCCAGCTCTCCTGCAGCTGTGCCTCCCCATCCCTGACCTCCCAGAATTCAGCCAAGGCCGGGGGACCTGCAAGGCCTATCTGCAGGGAAGGATAGGACGCATGGCTGGGCAGGGCTCCAGCCCATGGTAGGCAGAGCTGTGCTGTGCACACCTTTGGGCCTGGGGTCTAAGTAGGGTTGGGGGGTGTCAGGCCCAGCCCTCCTGCCCCCTGACCCTAACCCTAACCCTAACCCTGGTATCTTCAGCCACGAATGTTATCTAGTCGGCTTGCTGTTTGCCAGGAGCTGGGCATTTCCTTATTAAATCCTCCCTACAGCTTGTGAGGAGTTTGCTTTGCTCATCCCCATTTTACTGATGGGAAAATGGAGGCTCAGAGAGGTTAATGGACCTGCCCAAGGTCACACTGCAAAGTGGTGGAGATGAGACGCAGCTCAGGTCTGTTGGACACTGCAGACTGTGCTCTCCGGTTCCCACTTCTGAGGCGTTCTCTTTAGGAACACACGCATCTCATGCCATGATGTTTTACATTGATATTATATGACGCTGTGTTCCTATGTTTGCATACTTTATTATCTATCGCAGGCTAACTACTTCAGAACAGCATTTGTTCACTGTAGGGAGCTTAGAAACTACAGAAGCGCAGGGAGAGGAACGGTACCAAACAGCCCAAGGCCCCAGCACTCACACGTGGCCTTACTTACATGTGGGGCGCGTGCTTCTTGTTAGCACCCACGGCAGGGCAGTCCCCCGGCCTGCCTTCTCTCCAAGTCTAATGTCTCCTTGGCCCTGGAGCCTGGCCAGTTTTTCTGGGGAGGCTGTCTGGCCACGAGTGGCTCCCCCTCATGCCCCGTGGCCCCCGGGGCCCCAGCGCCCCCCGAGCACCCCTCTGCCGGGGGCCGGGCAGGACGGGCCGGGAGCAGCTCCGTTTCTCACCCTTGGCTCTTGTGTCTCTCGTTTCAGGAAATTAAAATGCATGACAGATAGCGAGTCCGTCCCGCCCGACTGGCCCTATTACCTAGCCATTGATAGGATTCTGGCCAAGGTCCCCGAGTCCTGTGATGGCAAACTGCCGGACAGCCAGCAGCCGGGGCCCTCCACGTCCCAGACCGAGGCGTCCCTGTCGCCGCCTGCTAAATCCACCCCTCTGTACTTACCGTATAACCAGTGCTCCTACGAAGGCCGCTTCCAGGATGATCGCTCCGACACCTCCTCCAGCTTACTGTCCCTTAAGTTCAGGTAGTGTGTGTCTTCCTTCCCCGCCCCCACCACCAGCAGGGGCCAGGGAAGGGGCCGGGTGCCGTGAGGGCCGGCTGATCTTCCGCCGCAGAGGACTAGGTGGTATGCAAGTGCCTCCCGGGCCAGAGAGGCTTCGGACCAGGCTGGCCTTCGACAGGGAGGCCTCAAGCAGGGAGGGCTCAGATGGGGAGGACTCAGGCAGAGAGGCTGGCCTCAGACAGGGAGGCTGACCTCAGATGGGGAGGCTGACCTCAGACGGGGAGGCTGGCCTCAGACAGGGAGGCCTCAGACGGGGAGGCTGGCCTCAGACGGGGAGGCTGACCTCAGACGGGGAGGCTGGCCTCAGACGGGGAGGCTGACCTAAGACGGGGAGGCTGGCCTCAGACGGGGACGCTGACCTCAGACGGGGAGGGTGGCCTCAGACAGGGAGGCCTCAGGCAGGGAGGCTGGCCTCAGACAGGGAGGCCTCAGACAGGGAGGCTGGCCTCAGATGGGGAGGCTGGCCTCAGACGGGGAGGGTGGCCTCAGACAGGGAGGCCTCAGGCAGGGAGGCTGGCCTCAGACAGGGAGGCCTCAGACGGGGAGGCTGGCCTCAGACGGGGAGGCCTCAGGCAGGGAGGCTGGCCTCAGACAGGGAGGCCTCAGACAGGGAGGCTGGCCTCAGATGCGGAGGCTGGCCTCAGACGGGGAGGCTGACCTAAGACGGGGAGGCTGGCCTCTGACGAGGAAGCTGGCCTCAGACGGGGAGGCCTCAGACAGGGAGGCTGGCCTCAGACAGGGAGGCCTCAGACAGGGAGGCTGACCTAAGATGGGGATGCTGGCCTCAGACGGGGAGGACTCAGGCAAGGAGGCTGGCCTCAGACGGGGAGGCTGACCTCAGACGGGGAGGCCTCAGGCAGGGAGGCTGGCCTCAGACGGGGAGGCTGACCTCAGACGAGGAAGCTGGCCTCAGATGGGGAGGCTGGCCTCAGATGGGGAGGACTCAGGCAAGGAGGCTGGCCTTAGACGGGGAGGCTGACTTCAGACGGGGAGGCCTCAGGCAGGGAGGCTGGCCTCAGATGGGGAGGCTGACCTCAGACAAGGAAGCTGGCCTCAGACGGGGAGGCTGACCTCAGACGGGGAGGCCTCAGGCAGGGAGGCTGGCCTCAGACGGGGAGGCTGACCTCTGACGAGGAAGCTGGCCTCAGATGGGGAGGCTGGCATCAGACGGGGAGGCTGACCGAAGATGGGGAGGCTGGCCTCAGATGGGGAGGACTCAGGCAAGGAGGCTGGCCTTAGACGGGGAGGCTGACTTCAGACAGGGAGGCCTCAGGCAGGGAGGCTGGCCTCAGATGGGGAGGCTGACCTCAGACAAGGAAGCTGGCCTCAGACGGGGAAGCTGACCTCAGACAGGGAGGCCTCAGACGGGGAGGCTGGCCTCAGACGGGGAGGCTGACCTCAGACGGGGAGGCTGACCTCAGATGGGGAGGGCTCAGATGGGGAGGACTCCAGCAGGGAGGCTGACTTCAGACGGGGAAGCCTCAGACCAGAGAGGCTTCAGACCAGGCCAGCCTCAGATGGGGAGGCCTTAGATGGGGAGGCCTCAGACCGGGCTGGCCTCAGACAGGAGACCTCGCACAGGGAAGTGTCAGACAGGGAGGCAGTTGGTACTGAAGTACAGGCCGTCCTGTCCATAGTCTGGGTTCATCTGGCTCCATCAATTTCTAGCTGTGTGGAAAGTCCTTGACCTCTCTGGGCCTCAGTCTCCCTTTGTAAAATGGGGATAAATCAGTACTTTCTCCAAGGATGGCTGTGAGTGTCAGAAGAGAGAACAGATTCAGGTGTGAGGCCTGGCACATGGAGGGAGACCAAGTGCCCTCCAGCTTCTGGCTTCTGGGCTTTCCCTCACCCCCAAGCAGACCCTGCCCTGGGGTCTCCTCCCTATCCTCACCAGGCTGGCTGGTCTTCTCAGAACCAGGGAGGGGTATTGGGCTGAGCCTCCAGAATGTGCTCAGAAGCTGGTTCAGCGGGCATGCCTGTCCTCCCCTCTGCAGTCCATCACAGACTTCCTGCTAGGCCAGCACTGGCCACGTGAGCCTGCCCTCGAGATGCCCACAGGAGGCTGGGGGACCAGAGGAGGGGACATTTGGGGTGGGCTCTCAAGAGTGGATAGGAGTTCGCCCGTTGAGGAAGAAAACAAGAGGACTGTAGGTTTGAGTTATGGCCCTGCCTCTCCCCTCAGCCCTGGCCTCGGCCTTCAGGTCTGCCTGTCAGGGGTGATGGGAGGAGGCAACTCTTCAGTTGGTCCAGGGCCCCTTCCCTGGAGGGAACTTCTCAGCAAAGACCCCAGACAAAAATGCCTTTGTGGATAGCCAGATGGAATCAGCTGGGAAACCTGAGATTTTTGGCCCATGTTTCCCCGGAATGACCCCAGTTCCCAGATTCCCTGCTGCCCCAGACACTGCCCCTAATTTCTAATTAGGGCTGGGACGTGGGGACCGCTTCCTCGCCCCTCAGGTCTGCTGGGGCATCGCTCTGCTGAGGAGCATGGGGCCCCGGCTAGGGGACCAGCAAGGCCTTAGGGACAGGTGGGGTTGGGCCAGTTCAGCCAGGGACGCTTCCTCCCCCACGGCGGAGGGCGCAGGGCACGGGGCCGTGGTCACCTTCACCTTTCACCTCCCTGTGCACCGGAGGCTCCAGTGCCAGGCTTCCCGGGAGAAGCCACCCTGCCCGCACCCCCTCCCTCCCTGCCTTCCTCGTCTCTGGCCCCTCCCCCCGCGCCTCCGCCCCGTGTGGCCTCTACCCCTGAGCCCCGTACCAGGCCCGTGCCCCCCACCCAGGCCGGGACTCGGGTCACTGGCTGTGCCCACGGCCCCTTGCTGTCCCGGCCCCTCCCCGCGAGCTGCACGGGGCGGCCCCAGGCGGGTGCGCGGGGCAGCCCCACAGGCAGGGGCCGGCCAGTCCGCGAGGCGGCGGCGGGGGAGGGGCGGGCCCCCCCCCCACCCCCTGGTGCCCGGAGCGTGCGGCCCGCCGTCCACATGCTGGCGCTGTCCCTCCAGGTCGGACGCGCGGCCCGGGAAGAAGCGCAAGGTGCAGAACTGCCACCTGCGGAAGAAGAAGCTGCGGCTGCTGGAGGCCATGCTGGAGGAGCAGCGCCGGCTGAGCCGCGCCGTGGAGGACGCGTGCCAGGAGGTGCGCCGCGTGCTGGACCGCCAGAACCTGCTGCAGGTGCAGGGCCTGCAGCTGCAGGAGCGCATGATGAGCCTGCTGGAGAAGATGATCGCCAAGTCCGGCGTCTAGGCCGCCCGGCCCGCGGGGAGCGCCCCGGGGCTGCCCCTGGCCCCGGGCGGACGCGGGCCGGCGCCTCCGGGGTCACCCCGGGCCGGCCCCCTGGTGAGAACCTCCCGGAGGCTGTCCTCCCGTACGGTCACTGTCGGTGGCCCTTGAAACGGCTTTGGGTGTTGCACGTGGGGTCTCGTTCCTGCCGGAAGTCATTTCCACAGCTCGCAGGGAGCACGCCAGGCCGGTCGACTGCAAGACAGAAGCAAACGGAAGCGGCTTAGTGGCGGCTTTGTGCCCGGGACGGAAACTCTCGAAGGGGCCACGGCTGTCCTCGCGCTCTCGGGGTCTGCTGCCCACCTAGGATGAGCTCCGACGGTGGAGCCGACCCCACACGGCCGCCGCATCCCTCTCCCTCGGGGCGTCAGGCCTCCCCGTGAGGACGCCGGCGAGGCGATGACGGCCGTCCGCGTGCACCACGCCGCCCGGTTTTCCGGCCCCAGGGATGTCGTGCTGACGGGGCAGAGCCCGGGCCTCGGGCACTTGCACTCCGGCCGGGGAGGCAAACGAGTGAAGACGGGAAGGGCGGGATAGCGGGTTGTGGTCAGCGCTGGACGGGAAGGGCTGGCCCCGAGCGTGAGGAGCGGTGGCGCCCCGACCGCCAGCGGGAGCAACCAGATTCCAGGAGCCCCGGACAGCGCTACTGGGCCGCAGAGGCACGGGGAGCTTTCGCGTGCCGTGCTGGCTGTGGTGCTCTGGGTCCGGACCCGCCGTGCAGGGACGAGCTCGTGGTGGCGGGGTCCAGAGCTGCAACGTAGAGCTCACCTCCCCTGCCTCTGCCCTTTCACCAGCAGGAAAACCTGTCCAGACGCTTCTCTGCTGAATTGCTCCTAAGTCTTGCTGGCTCCTTGGGCTTTTGGTCCCTGGCTGCACAGGGTGCTGGGCACAGGACCGTCTGGTTCACCCCTGGGACCAGCCTGTCGCTGCCCGCACAACAGGGCTCTGAGGAGACATGGCAGGTGGGTTAGGGCAAGTGCCGTGGTTTCCCTCACGGTCTAGAAAAGCTCCTTCCGACTGCTCCTGGGCAGACGGGTGGGGGTGGGGGCCGAAAGCAGAGGTCCTGCCAGGAGGACCGTGCCAATTGGTCCGTACCAATTCGCACGGCGTCTGCGTTCCCACCAAGGCCGGTCCGGCTACCGCCGTGACGTCGCTGGACCCACGTGGGAGAGATCCGCACAGAACAGGCCGCGGCACCCCGCGGCAGAGGAGAACCTGGGGGGGTCTCGTGCTGAAGACCTGAGTGGGGGGGGGCGTGCCCACAGGAACCCACCAGTCTCGGAGACGAGATCCTGCCGCGAGAACTCAGCTGTTTCACAAACACCGAGGACAGGACCCCGTCAGAGCGGCCGTGCCAGAGGGGCGCCCGAGGTGGCCACAAAGTTAGGCGGGAGGTCCCTCCCCTTATATGCCTTTGCTTTGCTGGCACCGTGGTTGTGGCGTGTTAGTGTGTGGGTAACTGCGGGGCAGCAGGTGCAGTTCTGCATTTGTGTTTAGAGATAATTTGCACTTTTTCCCAGCTCCCTCTCTGAGTGGGGGGGGGGGGGTCAGTGCTGTTTCTGTGTCTTGCCAAGTGGGCACTGCCCACCTGTCCCGTGGGCTGGAGCGGAATCCGGACGGTCAGCGGAACTCAGCTGTAGGACCGCCTGGGCCGCGCCCTTCCTGGACAGCGTGTCCTCGGCGAGTTTCTGATTTGTTCTGTAGTTACTGGTCCATGAAGGGGGGGAAAGTGGCCGTATCGGTGAACGCTAAGCTATTTGATAAGATTCAGCGAAACAACGTGTTAACACTGAAAACAAGTCAGGAACCAGATGCGCGTGCTTGCTTTCACTGTTATTAGTTAGCGTTGACGTTGATAGCTGATGCATTAAGACAAATGGGCAGGATGAGAGATGAGACGAAGAAATGAAAACTGCCTTATTTTCAGGTGAGACCTTTGTATGCCCAGAAAGCCAAACTTACAGATCAAGAGCTCTGTAAACTACCCTGACCCTGTGGCATCCGAGACTGGAGCATTCCATGCACGGTCATGACTGAGAACTACAGGGAATCTGTGAGTGAGTTTAACCAGAAAGGCGCAGGATCGACAGGAAGGAAACTGTGGTTTATTGTTAAATCTGAAACGGTTCCTGAGCATGTGGGGAAACGGCGTACTCCTGCAAGTTCCAGAATAAAGTGTCATCACTTTGTTAGTATAATTCCAACTATATTTTCAATAACGTTGTGGTTTTCTCTTTGTTTTGAAATGGAAGAAAGCAGTTTTGAGTTCATATGAAAACCGAGAGGGGCAAAGGGCCTGAGGCCAAAGACTGTGAGGAGGCGTGCTCGGCCTCATGTAGCGCCAGGTAATGCGGAATAAAACCGGAGTGAGCCTTCCATTAGTGGTTGAAGCTGGAAAAACGTGGACACGTGGAAACTCACACCCTGGCAGGGGCAGTGGGAACTGGCACAAGTGCTCGGGAGCAGCTGGGCCTCACCCCGCACAGCTGAGGCCACGCGGGCCTGCCGCGGCCCCAGCGCTCTCGGGGGCCCTGCACGCACGCCAGCGATTGAAGGCCTCAGAGCTTCTGTCCGCCTGCCTTCTAACCGCCAGCATTAACACCCCATCTAATAAGATGACCTTAATTAGAAATCAGACCTGAGACTTAAAAGATCTTAGTCCTTTCAAAATAACAATAAACCCCAGGACATGCTAACATAAAAAACAATCACGGGAAAAATGTATTTTCCAAAACAAAAGGTTTTAGCGAGAAGAGTGGTGTTGTGTCACGTACCCTCAAATATCCGGCCTGAGAGAAGCCAGCTCCACACTCAGTCTGTTGCGGGATGTGGCTCGGCTGTAAGTGTGCAAGTGTCTGGGCAAAATCCAGGGTCACACAGATAGATGTTTGAAAAAGAAAGAGGTCTTTTTTTTTTTTTTTTTTTTTAAGTTTATTTATTTTGAGAGACAGAGAGAGCATGAGTAGAGGAAGGGCAGAGAGAATCGCAAGCAGGCCCTGCGCTGTCCGCACAGAGCCCGATGCGGGGCTCGAACCCACAAACCGTGAGATCATGACCTGAGCCGAAACCAAAAGTCAGACGCTCAACTGGCTGAGCCCCCCAGGCGACCAATAAAAACGACGGATCTTCTAATAACGTGTATGGATCACGCGGACATTCTTTCCCGGCAGGACCCCCACAGGCTTGTTGAGATGTGGAATCAGCCTACCACGAGCCGGCAGAGCTGTGTCGCAGCAGCAGCCATCCGTCCGTCTCGCGCTTTGGCGGATCGTCATTCGTGCTTCTGGAACACCGTGCGTTAGGCATTTGGAAAATACTGGTTCACCGAGTTATGCCCATCTTCCTCACCGACACAGTGCATTAAACATCCTCGAAAACTCACTTTTGTCACTGGTGGGGTCACGCTCATAGCGAAGCCTTTCCTGTGGGACATTAAGCTCATGGTGGTGGATGCAAGTCTTTCTGGCCTTGGTGTGAAAGCTAGACGTTTCCATCGGTCACCATGTGAGTTGGTTTCCTTTTGAAGGGACAGCTCCCTTTGCTCATTTCCAAGAGAATGTCCACCAGGTGCCCACGTCCTTCTCTCAAGCGAAAGTTGAGTTCCAGTGAGAAGTGTTTTCAGCTATATTTCAGCTGGCAGCTGGAACATTCCGCAGGTGCTTCTCCCAGACGTCGACACAGGGGTGGACAGGAGTGTGTTACACATACTATCCATGTGTCACAAGGAATATTAAAAGGATCCAGATTTAATAAAATTGAGTAATTTCTTACTGCCTCACCAGGGTCACTCTTCAGGGAAATTGGCATTTTCTGTGGAGAGCATGTGGTGGGAGGGAGGTGCCTGCCCTGATTCTTGCTGAGGACCCAGCCATTGGACCCACGCTGCAAATGCCAACATGCTGAAAACAGCAGAGGACGTTTTCTTTCATGATAATGGAGAATAATCCGGGCCTCGGGGACACCCGGGGGTCCACAGACCACAGATCGAGAACTGCCCTAGGGAGGCCGGAGTGGGCGCGAGGCCACCGGGACGAGACTGTGTGCCGGATCGCATCCTAGGATGCTCCTGAGTGTCGCACAGCTGGGGCAGGGGTGAGGAGGTGGGCCGCGGCCAGTGTGTGTGTGTTCTCCCCATACCTGAAAGTCCCCGTGGGTGGGCTGGTCCCCTGGGCGTGCTCAGAAGGAGGCGCTGCTCCCCTCTACCTAAGAGCGCTTCTGACTGTGCTGTGTGCCAGGGGCAGGGAGTAGTTGGGTGTCAATCAGATCAAAATCCCTGTTCTTACAGGCTTTACGGCGGGAGGTGGAGGGGGGGGACGCCCTCAGCAGACAAAATGGTCAGCGCCTGAGAGAGAAATAGCCCCCGAGGGGCTTCTGGATCGCAACGCACCGGCAGAGAGAAAGCCTGCGTGCAGCGAGCCAGGCCGGGGCGGGAGTTCGGTGAGGCGGGAGCCCACGTTTTCCCGCCAGGGAAGCAGGGTCGACGTGACTGTCCTGGTCTCCACTGGGAGTCAGGTCCCCGTCGGGAGTCCCCACGCTGACTGGCTGGGCAGGGACCCCCAGGCACCGGCTCTGAGTCAGCGGCTGTCTCCAGGCTGAGCGAGCGCGGCCGAGACACCTGGCGGGACTCGTGAGGGGCGGTGTTACACCCAGACCTGGCCCAGGTCCCTCTCGGGTGGGCCCAGTGGGACCCCGCACCCACCCGAGGTCACCTACCCACTTCCTGAAGGTTCTTTGGGCCAAAGAACAGGCCCAGTCCCCCAGTGGCCCCAGAACCACCTTACTTTCCAAAACTGAAGCCCCGACCAGTGCAGGAGTGTGGATCCCTGGAGCGTCTCCGTTCAGTTTCGGAGGCAGCTGAGTCTCGAGGACAACAGGGGGCTCTGTCAGCTCGGTCAGGTGGAGGCACCCCTTGCAGCTGCTGTTGCACGTGAGGCCTGTTGACTGGAGCAGGTCAGCAGCCCACAGCCCGCACTTTCCTCCCAGGCAGTGTCTGTCCCCTGCCCCTGCCACTTGGGTCTCCAGGGACCTCCCCCATCTTGTCATCCACCGGTCAGAGCAGGGGAAGAGGAGGGGGCGGGTGCACGGACCTCTCGTGGAACCACACATGCACGTCGGAAGAGGAGGGAGGAGAGAACCTGGGAGGGAGCAGGGCCATCTCCCCAGGGGCTTGTGGGGCGTCCGTGGCCCGGGCCACGTCAGGAGGGCCCTCCAGAGCAACAGCCACTCGCTGGGGTGAGGGCACGGGGTGCGTTGACCCTCTGTGGGGTTGGGCAGCCACACGCCCCTCATTCTACATCCTTCGGACGTTCCGACCGCAACTGAGAGGAGTCGTGGCCGACCCACTCCGGGACGTGGCAGAGGAGGCCCTGTGCTTCAGGAAGTGGCCACACCGTCCTTGGAAGCTTACTGTTCTCCTTTGGACACAGCTCTTGTGCGTGTCCCTCTGAGCCAGAGTTTCTGACCCTCGTGTGGCCCTCGGAACTACTGCTGGTCTCCAGTGAACTCTTCTTGGTCACCTGACGTGTGTGTGTGACGTGGTCGGAGTGAGGAGCTGGCCTGCACAGCGCGTCTGTCCCCATCCAGCCTTTGTCCCTCAACACAGCTCCAAACCATCCTGTTCAGGGTCACAGCACACGCTCACAGGAGCCCCGTGTTACCGCAGACGAGCACCCTCCTCCCCTGTAAGGGCAGCACCACGGTCCGTGGGTGGCGGCCGTGGCTTCACGGGTCACCGCTGGTCGTCCTGTTCCGGGCTTTCTGTAGGCAGTGGCGTGGGGGGTGTCCCCGAGTGCGCTTGTGCACGCTAGCACGCGGTTTTTAAGTCAGACAAGATAGTTAACTTGAGGGGGGGACAAGTCGAGCACAAAAGCCCCCACATTCTGCTCCATGGCTCCCATGCGAGGGAGGGGCCCGGTTCACGTCTCCCACGCAGAGCTGTGTCACAGCGCCGTGCGTGGGCAAGCCTGTCCCTCCACTGCTACTCTTGGAATCTTTCTTAACAGCAAATCGCCCAGGGGCGCCAGGCTGGCTCAGTCCGTACAGTGTGTGTGGCTCGCGATCTCCAGGTC